CGTCCTCCTCCTCCTCATCATCACTGTCATCGTTATCAGCAGCAGCAGCATCAACAGCTTCATCGTCATCACCACCACCATCACCATACAATTTTCGTCATCGGCATCAGTGCTATCACCACCAGCCGCATCGCTTTCACACTCATAACAGCCAACCACCTGATAATTGTCGTCATAATCACCGTCGTCGCCAGCATCACCAGCATCCGCAGCAGCAGCCTTTTCGTCATCGGCATCGTCGTCGGCATCCTCCCTACTACTGTCGAAATCGCCTAATCGGTCGCCCAATCGTGCCACGGCACGACGCCCGCTAGGGTGGCAACAGGTTCGGGGGAGCCGGCGGCCAAGAAATGGGGCGTCGGCCGCCCCGGGCTGTTTCTCAGCGACACCCGGCTGTTGTGGCTGTCCGCGTGGATGCAGAAGGTCGACTGGAGATGGCACGTCGTCGCCGTCGCCGCCGTCGCCAGCAGATGAAATCCCACCAGCCCTTTAGGGCGAGGGTGGTCTAGGGAGCTTTCTCTTCCAACCCCTTTCTTCTCCTTCGGGGAGGCATTTACCCCTCCCCCTTACCCCCTCCCCTGGACCTTGACGGGGCGCCCCGCGAGGCGTTGGAGCGTCCAAGATGGCCCAAGACGGCTCCAAGAGCCTCAGAAAGCCAAAGATGACCTCCAAGGTGGCTCAAGATAGCCCAAGATGCCTTGGCTCCCAAGATGGTCCCAAAGGCCCCAAGACCGCCCCAAGACGGCTCCAAGTAGCCGAACAGCTCGCTAAGGAGGCCCCGAAGAGGCCACAGTCCTTCCAAACCTTAAGGGAAATCAATGTGTGCGGTGCATTCTCGCCTTTTCGCTTCCGATGGTCATCCGAGGCCTCAAGATGACTCCAAGATGGCCTAAGAGGGCCCCAAGAGAGGCCCAAGAGAGCCCCAAGACGGCCCCAAGAGCGCGCAAGAGCGCTCCAAGAGCTCCACAGCAGCGCCCCAAGAGGCGATTGTTTGGGCTCCCGAAGGGGGGGCTCAAAAAATTAAAGCTCCCCTCTTTGTTTGATCGATGTCTTCCAGGATGGCTCCAAGAGCGCCCCAAAAGCTCCTAAGAGCGCCCATAGAGGGCTCCAAGAGGCGCCCAGACGGCCTCAAGAGGCGCCCAAGGGCCTCCAAGAGACTCCCAAGAGACCCCCAAGAGGCCTCAAGAGGATCCCCGAGGATCAAGACGCTCAAAGACTACCCTGACCAGCCAAGACCTCTCAGACGCCTCAAGAGGCCTCTAAAAGGCGTCCATGAATCATCCGAGGAAACTCCGAGGAGACTCCGAGAGGTATTCAAAAGGCATCTGGCTCTTCTCTTCGCCCTGTTGTTCTTCCTCCTCCTCCTCCTCCTCACCTCCTACTCCTCTCTCCTCCTCCTCCTGCCCTCATCACCTCCTCCTCATCTCCACCCTCTCACCTCCTCCTCCTCTTCCTCCTCCCACCTGATCCTCCTCCTCCTCCTCCTTCCTTTCCTCTCCCTCCTCCTCCTCCTTCCTCCTCCTCCTCCTCCTACTTTTCCTCCTCCCTCCCCTCTGGCGGTCCTCCTCCTCCTCCCTCCTCCCTTCCTCCTCCTCCTCCCTCCTCCTCCTCATCATCATCATCAACATCATCATCATCACCACCACCACCACCACCGCATCATCACCATAATCATTCCATCATCATCATCATCAATCATCATCAATCATCATCATCATCAGCAGCTCATCATTTTATCATTCATCATCATGCATCATCATCATCATCATCATCATCATCATCATCTCATCATCATCATTCATTCATCATCATCATCATCATAATCATCATCATCATCATCATTCATTCATCGTCGTCGTCAGTCATCATAGCATATATTCAACACATGCATCATCATCATCATCATCATCATCATCATCATCATCATCATCATCATCATCATCATCATCATCATCATCACCCTCCTCCTCCTCCTCCTCCTCTTCCTCCTCCTCCGCGAGTTTCTCATCTGCCTATGCCTCATCATCCTATGTTTCCTCCTGTTTCTTTTCCTCCTCCTCCTCCTCCTCCTCCTCCTCCTCCTCCTCCTCATCCTTCTCGTCCTACATTTACTCCACCGTCCTCCTCCTCATTCGAAAGATACGGGCTAGCCCCTGATTTTGCTCCTACACTTCCCTTGTAGCCCAAACTCTCCTGGGCATCGTTTCTGCATGGCCTGCTGGGGATACTTTTCGGTCGCGTCCGCAAGCGAAGGCGCAGGCGGAGTCAGAAGCGGTCCGGGGCGCAAAAACGGGCCTAATTAGCTATTGGGCGCGCCGCAGGCCGGCCGGGCCAGCTCACAAAGCAGCTGCTGAGCCGCGCGGAGAAGCTGACAGGCTGAGGGCACCCAGGGAAGCTCGGGCAACGTGCAGTCTAGCAAAATGCCAGGAAATTCGGTGTATGCCATGCGGCGTGAACCACTCAGAGAGCGCGAGGACGTACGCGCAGATGCCTACGCGCCTCACACGCCCGGAGTTCGCACAAGCGAGGTGAACGATGAACGAGTCGCCAGCGGGGCGCCAGGTCCAGGGCCGCACCAACGGCGTGTGCAAGCTAGGTGGGCTAAGCTGCCGAGGTGACGTCGAAAACCTGCCTGAATGGCTGGAATGGGTCCAGGGGAATGGCTGGAATGGGCCCAGGGGAAGCGCAGCGTCTGACGGAAGGCTGAACCACTCCGAAGCTGCTGGGGGTACTTGTCGGTCGCGTCCACCAGCGAAGGCGCTAGCGGAGTCAGGAGTGCTACGGGACACGAAAGCGGCCCAATTAGCTACTAGACGCGCCGCAGGCCGGCCGGCCCACTCACCCAGCAGCGGCTGACTGCGCGGGGGAGACGGCGAGCTGAGGGCGTCCAGGGAAGCTCGGGCACTTGCAGCCCAGCAAAATGCTGGGAAATTCCAGTTGTGCCGAGAGGCAAGACCCACACGAAGCACGAGGACGATTGCGGCAAGCTGCGTGTCAAACATGCCGTCTGGGCGTCCAGGGGTGGTAAGCGAGGGGCGAGTCGCCAGTGGGGCGCCAAGCCCAGATCGCGCCAACGGCGTGTGCGAGCCAGCTGAGCTGCTCCGCCGAGGAACGTCGAAAACCTGCCTGGAGGGTGGACAGGCCGGTGGGAGCGGCCGTGGCTGCGAAGGCTGAACCACTCGAAGCGGCCCGAACTCCAGGGGCCGTCATCCCGCGCACCACGGGGAAGGCACGGAGTCAACCCTTCCAACACCTGCGCGAACGCCGGCTGAAGCACTGCGTGAGGAAGCCAGGCCGGCGGGGATGAACATCGCCAGCGAGGCAGGGGAATCCAGGGTAGAGCTGCACGACAGCCGCCCGCATTACGGAAGGGCGGCCACCGTCGAGGCACAGCCTTACCCGTCGTATCTGCCATTCCCCGCGGGGATCCAGGGTCGCAGCTAACCGCCCCTACGAGCGAGGTAACGTTACCGCAGTCAGCGCGGGGTCCTGGTCAGCCCTGGGGTGAGGGGACGATCACCCATCGATCCAGGGGACAGCGAGCCTGGCAGCTGCCCAGCCCGGGAGAGACCAGAGGGGAGGGACGCTGGGGACTGACATCACCGGCCCTCCACGCCGAGGGGCTCCCCAGGGACACCTGGCGAGAGAGGGGGACATCGAGAACGTCCACCTCGCGATCCAGGGGCATGTGAACCCGGCAGCAGCCCCGCCCAGGAGGGACCCGAGGAGAGGGGCGGTGGGGACAGACATCACCGACCCTCCACACGGGTCCCAGGGGGACCAGGCGGGGCAGGGGCGCCGAAGCCAGGGCCCGAGCACCAGGGAGGCAGCGAACGGATGCTCAGGGTCCGCTGCACTCGTCCAGGGTGGCCTTCGGCCTCTTCCGCTTCGATGTCCAAGGGAAGGCCGGGGTGACGGCCGGCTGCCGTCCGAGGCTAGGGCTGCCGAGGCCTGGGTATGAGAATCAAGTGCACGACAGCCGCCCGCATGAATAAGGGCGGTCACCGTCGGGGCACTGTCTTACCCGACGTATCTGCCATTCCCCGCGTGGATCCAGGTTCGCAGCTAACCGCCGCTATGAGTGAGGTGATTACCGCCGTCAGCGCGGGGTCCTGGTCAGCCCTGAGGTGGGGTGACGATTACCCCCGCGATCCAAGGGTCTGCGGGCCTGGCAGCGTGCCCAGCCCGGGAGAGACCCGAGGGGAAGGGCGGTGGGGACGGACAACACCGGCCTTCCACGCGGAGGGGTTCCACAGGGACACCTGGCGAGTGAGGGGGACATAGAACGACCACCTCGCGCTCCAGGGGCATGTGAACCCGGCAGCCGGCCCAGCCCAGGAGGGACCCGAGGAGAGGGGCGGTGGGGACAGACATCACCGACCCCCCACACGGATCCCAGGGGGACCTGGCGAGGGGGCAAGGGTGCCGAAGCCAGGGCCCGAACTCCAGGGATGCAGCCAACTGCTGCTCAGGGTCCGCTTCACTCGTCCAGGGTGGCCTTCGGCCTCTTCCGCTCCAGGGTCCCAGGAAGGCCAGGGTGACGGCCGACTGCCGTCTGAGGTGCTGTCGGCATCTGTCCCCGGGAGTACGACAGCAGTCCGTGTGAGAGACAGATGGGCGTGCCAGCCACCTGCTTGAAATACAGAGGGGCGGTCACCGTCGGGGCACTACCCTACTCGACGTTGCTGGGGATATTTTTTGGTTCGCGGCTCCAAGGCAAAGGTCAGGGAGCGGACGCAGCGTCCGGGATGCGGCACGGAGCGAATTTGCGAACACAGCCGCCACTATCGGCAGCCAGTTCGCACCTGCAAGACACGCTCGCAGCTGCACATGCACAGAACAAAATGAACTCAAGTCACAAGCAAACGCACATAGGCGCAGCAGCGTGACCGAAGTGAACGAGCTGCAAGTGCGAAGACAGCAGAGTGAGTCGCTGGTGCGGCGCCAGACTCCCTGCTGGGAGTGCGAAAGCGAGAGCGAGCGACCAATGTGTGGTCGGCCTAGAGGTTTTCTGGCCCCGGTAAGCTTTCTGGCAACTGCGCCTCGTCTAGAGCTTCCCGCGAGGGCCCAAAGCGTCCCGTCCACGGGGGAACGGAGGTATGACCCGAAAGCCACCAGGCGCGCCCTCCCCTCCCTCCCCTCCCCTCCCCTCCCTCCCCTCCTGCCCTCCCTCCCTCCTCTCCCTCCCTCCCCTCCTCCCCTCCTCCACAATTACTCAATATGAGTACTACTCTCCCTCTTCCCCTGATGACGGTTTGAAAGTGTCCGACCCCCCCCCCCCCGCGTACTGTTTTGTTACACACAGGTTTCCCTGGAGTTGGGTTTTCGCCTGCATGTTTTTCAAAATGCTGCTCTCGCTAAGGCGCCGGCCTCAATTTCGGGCCCCGCTCGTTCCGAATCGTGCTCCCGCTGCAGTGCTGGCCTCATTTCCGTGCTTCCGCTCGTTCCGAATCGTGCTCCCGCTGCAGCGCTGTCCTCATTTCCGCGCTTCCGCTCGTTTCGACTCGTGCTCCCGCTGCAGCGCTGGCGTCATTTCCCGTGCCATGCCACGGCATGCAATGCAATGCTAGGTTGATACTACGCTTTGCGGTGCTCTTCTACGCCATGCCATGCCGTGCTCTACAATGCATCGCGTACCCTTTCGGGATCATTGCCCTGCTCGACATCCGACTGTGCGAGTAGAGAGGGGATGTGCGCCATGGTAAGGGATGGGTGGGAGGGGTAGGATGTAAGATATGACGCGAGCGCACCTAGCTTGCCTCCCTCCCCTCCCTCCCTCCCTCCCTCCCTCCCTCCCCGAAGGGGGTGGCAAGAGCAGGAGGAGCAAGAGCGGAGGAGGCAGGGGATCGAGCCCATGAGGGAGACGGCGTCTCGCGGGAGGGGCGGGGGGGGGGAGGCGGAAAGCAAGGGGGCGGAGGTGGGGAAAGAGCGAGGAGGGCGGTGACTCGTGAGGGTGAACAGAGGGAGCAAGAGATGCGGAAGAGCATGCGAATCAGGATGAGGGCGGTGGAAGGAGGAGGAGGAGGAGGAGGAGGAGGAGGAGGAGGAGGGGGAGGATGAGGAGGAGGAGAAGAAGGAGGAAAAAGAGGAGGAGAAGGAGGAGGAGGAAGGGAGGAGGAGGAGGAGCAGGAGGAGGACCCAGGAGGCCACAAGAGGCTCCAAAAAGGCGTCCAGGCGCCCCCAAAACGCCCACAAGAGGCCCACAAGAGGCTCCCCAGAGGCCTCCAAGAGGCCCCAAGGGGCCCCAAGAGGCCCCCAAGTCGGCTTCGATATACGATGGTTCGGCCTTCACAGCGTGGAAAGACCCTCCAAGACGCCTCCAAGACCGCCCTAAGACTGTCCCATACGGCACAAGAGGCGCCCAAAACGACCCAAAAGGGCTCCAACACGGCCCCAAGACGACACTTCGAACCTTCGGCTCCAAGACGCCCCCAACGTGCCCCAGGGACCCCCGGGAAGCCCCCCCCAAAGAACAAAGGGGTCGGCGGTGTGGCGTAAGCCTAAGAATAATAACGGACCCCCCCCCCCCAGCACCAGGATGGGGCATGCACACACACACACACACACACACACTCCCGAGACCACGATCCCTCCCAAAAAACTATAGACCCGCGCTCCCGAGACAACGATCCCTCGGTCAAGCCAGGGATCCGCGTCCCGAGCTTCCAAGACGGCCCTTGCGGGCGACCAGGGACACGAAGATGACCCAAGATGCCACGAAGACGGCCCAATATGGCCCCGAGGCGAACAACAATGGCCTCAAGACGACCCAAGATGCCTCACGGAAAGCCCAAAGGGCCACAACAGAACCTCTGACAGGACCCGAAGAAACCAATATCATTGATGTCCGCTGGTCTTTAATGAGACTCGCATTCTCACCTTTTCGGACTTCCGTCAGCTCGAGGCGGCTCAAGAAGCCTCCACGACGATACCAAGAAGGCCCAAGCGGCCCCCGAGAGGGTGCCAAGATGGCCCAAGAGGACCCTACGATGGCCCAGGGAGCATCCAAGATTGTCCCAAGACGGCCCAAGAGAGCCTCCTGCGGGACCCAAAACAGCCTTGAAGGCCTTTCGACGATCCGAAACGGCGCCAAGACAGTACCACGGCGGCCCCAAACGCCCATCATACAGCCGAGAGGGCCCCTACACGGCTCAACAGAGCCCCAAGACTGCGTAAGAGGGCCCTCAGACGATCCAAGAGGGCCCAAAGGCACCACCAAGACTGCCTCCCAGAAGGCCAAGACAGCCCCAAAACAACTTCAACGAATTCCACAAATAGCTAAGACGGAAGGTTCATATGTGACGGCAGTCCTCCTCCTCCTCGTCCTGCTGGCTGCCACTCCTCGTCCTCCTCTTCCTCTTCCTCTTCCTCCTCCTCCTCCTCCTCCTCCTCCTCCTCCTCCTCCTCCTCCTCCTCGTCGCCGTCGCCGTCACCGTGATCAGCGTCGTCCTCGCTGTCGTCGTTGACATCAGCATACTCATCAGCAACATCATCATCATCATCATCATCATCATCATCATCATCATCATCATCATCATCATCATCATCATCATCATCATCAGCATCATCATCATCATCATCATCATCATCATCATCATCAGCAACAGCAACAGCAGCATCATCATCATCATCACCATCATAAGCAGCATCAGCATCATCATCAGCAGCAGCATCAGCATCAACACCATCATCACCACCACCGCCACTGTCATCATCCTCCTTCGCCGGCCCCTCCTCCTCCGCAGCAGCATCATCAGTAGCATCAGCGTCATCATCAGCAGCAGCATCAGCATCATTAGAGTCAGCATCATAAGCAGCAGCATCATCATAATCAGCATCATCAACAGATCAGCATTATTATCAGCATGAGCATCGGCAGCATCATCAGAATCAGCATCAGCATCAGCATCATAATCATCAGCATCACCATCGTCATCGACATCGCCATTATCACCACCACCACCACAATCATCAGTATCATCATCATCATCATCATCATCATCATCATCATCATCATCATCATCATCACCATTATCATCTTCATCAGCATCATCATCAGCATCATCATCGTCGTCATGATCAGTATCGTCAGCATCAGCACCTGCGTAAGCAGCATCATCATCATCATCAGCATCAGCAGCGGCATCATCGTCATATTCTTCAGCAGCATCAACAAAAAGCCAGCATAACAATAAGCATCAACATCAGCATCGTCAGCGTCGTCGTCGCTGGTGGCATCGGAAGCATCAGCATCACCACTAACAGCATCGTCGCCATCATCATCAGCATCATCAGTATCGCCACCATCACCAGCAGCAGCATCATCAGCAGCAGCCGCGACATCATCAGCATCAACATTTGCATCCGCATCGTAATGAACATCAGCATCGTCATCAGCTGCACCAGCATCAGCAGCAGTAGCAGCAGCATCGTCTTCATCATCATCAGCATCAACAGCAGCATCATCAGCAGCAGCAGTATCATCATCATCATCAGCACCATCAGCAGCAGAATATGCATCTGCATCTGCATCTGCATCATCATCAGCATCATCATCAGCAGCAGCATCCCAGCCATCCTCATTATCCTCATCATCCTCACAGCCGCTCCCCCAGGCCCCGAGACACAAGGCGTCACACGCGACGGCCTCCCGTCCCCCCACGAACAGGCGCCACCCAAAATGCTGGACTAGCACTGCGGCGGGATTTACAACCAGCTGGAAGCTCGAGAGGGGGGAGGAAAGGAGGAGCAGCGGAAGGAGGGACGGTGAAGGGGAAAGGGGGGGGACGGCGATGGCGAGGCAGGAGTCGAATTCGAAAACATAGCCCGAGCAGAGCCGACAGCGCCATACCGAACGACGAGAGCAGCGTGGACCACGCCCTACTGGGAACACCTAGTCTGGCGTGCTGATGACGGCCTCATAAGAATGGTTACCGCCGTAAACTGTAATTCCTGCGCTTGGCAAGCCAAATGCGCGGAAGGGGCGACTAGACAATGGAACCCTTCCAAGAGGAACGGGGGTGTGGCACTCAAACGCAGGGAACATAAAGGGAACTGAGGACGGAGGGGGGCAAGCAAATAGGAATGGATGGGAGGAGTGGCAAAAGAAAGAGGGAGGACCAGCAGGCTGGAGGGGAGGGGTTAGAGGGTCTTGCTTGAGCACCACCGCTGCGCTGCATGCGCCTTGCACACTGGGAGCGTCAGACAGCAAAAGCTGAGTGGCTGGCGCACCCTGAGGAGAGACAGGAGGGACGGGGGCAGGGAGGGAGGGAGGGAGGGGGGGGGAATGGGGGCAGCGGGGAGGCAGGGAGGGGGAGGGCGAAGGGAAAAGGAAGGGGAGGCGCGACGGGACGGCAGGGCAGCGGACGAGAGAGGCCCCCTCCCCCGTCGTCCGCCCCCCACTCCTTGCCCTCCGCGCCCTGCTCCTCCACCTCTTCCTCCTCCTCCTCCTCCTCCTCCTCCTCCTCCTCCTCCTCCTCCTCTCCTCCTCCTCCTCCTCCCTCCTCCTCCTCTCCTCCTGCTCCTCCACCTCTTCCTCCTCCTCCTCCTCCCCCGACATCCAGCCGCTCCAATTGTTTCGATGCGTCGACCCCCAGAGGTCTGGGGCCAGTTTTTTATCCTGAATCGTGTTTTGACGGTCTCGGGGCCCCTTGAGGGCCCCTGGATGCCAGAAATAGCAAAAAACAGCCGCCCAATCTTTTGGGGAGCGTCGGATCTCGAGGTTCTTCTCCTCCTCTTCCTCCTCTTCCTCCTCCTCCTCTTCCTCCTCCTCTCCTCCTCCTCGTCCTCCTCCTCCCCCTCCCCCCCTCCCCCTCCTCCCTCCTCCTCCTCCTCCTCCTCCTCCTCCTCCTCCTCCTCCTCCTCCTCCTCCGCCGCCCGCCCCTTCCAAAGACCTCGACGACGCCGAGGGGCAGACTGCCCAGGGCCGCCCGCGTTTCTGGCTGCGCGGCCGCCGCGGCGCATGCGGCCCGCCGCGCGCGGCCGCCGTGGCCGAGCCCAGGGGGGGCCCGAGGTGGGACGCACAAGGACGTACAGTCAAGACGCTGAAGTCGGAAGGGGCTCAATGTTCCTTAGGTCCTTCCATGGCTGTTCCTCTAGCCCTCCTCGTGCACGCAGGCGCTTTGGGCGCCAAAAGGGGCTTCGTTCCTTATTTAGCGTTCCTTACTTCGGCAGCCCGGCTGTACCTCAAGGGCCCTGGAAACGACAGGGCCGTTTGTTACCGGCTCCGCTCTGCCGTTGCTCTGACCGGTTCCGTTCTGTCTCTCGTTTTTTGTTTACCGGTTCCATTCTGCCGTTTTTGTTGCCCGTGCCGGCTCTGGCGCCGATCCTGGAGCCGATGTCTTGCCGTTTCTGGTCGCCGTGTTTTGCCCCTTCCATGTTCAAGAGACACTTGTTCGGAAACGTAACTAGTACCATGTGTACTCCTTGGAGGCGTGCGTTTGGTCCCGACATATAGTAGATCCATAGTGTGCATGCATGCATGTGTGCATGCATGTATGCACGCACGCATACATGCGTGCATGCATACAGACAGACAGACATACATAAAATGTCATTACAGTTCGTTACATTACATTGCGCTACATCACCATACATATGTCTGCAAATCTATATATATATACACACATACATACATACATACATACATACATACATACATACATACATGCGTGCATGCATACATGCATGCATGCATGCATGCATACATACATGCATGCACGCACTCATGCACGCACTCATGCATACATACATACACAACCACCAATCCATCAACCCACCCGTCAACCCACCCAGAGATACAGACATTCACACACATACATACATAGATACGCACATGCATGCATATATGTACATATGCGTATACGTATACCCATACATATACATATGCATACACATACATATACATGTGCGTGTACTTATGTATCCATACATACACATGTACACAGACATATACATACTGGTATAATTAGATCTGCACAGATGCAAATACACAACACGTTCATATAGAAATGCGTGTACCTATACATGTGCACATACCTATTGATGTACATAAGCCTATACCTGCATAAATATACATACAAAGGTATACAAATGCACCTACCTATACCTAGATACACACGTGAAAACATATATATATATATACACACTTATATATATATATATATGTATATATACATGTATATGCATGTACAAGCACGTATACATATACATATGCATACGCATGCAGCTACACATATGCATATGGCCATGCATGTGTGCCTAGTTCATTGTATGTGTATATGCTTGTAGAAAGTTGGATACACACATGCATATTACATATATATATATATATATATATATATATATAGATGTAGATACGTAGATGTAAACGTATATGAGTATATGAGTGCGCCCGCCACGGAGCCCGTACTGGAAGATGCCTCGGCGCGCACGCCGCCCCCTCGGGTGGGGGCGCGGCGCGCAGGGAGCACCCGCCCGGTGGGGCGACGCCGCCGAGGCGGCGCGGCGCGCTCCGCGCTCAGCACCCGAGGGTGAAGCTGCCGAGCCACCCGTCCGCGACGGTGCCGGCCAGGGGGATGGTCTCGCAGTTGGTGGTGTACCTCTGACCACATACACCCTGCGAAATGCTCAAGAAATCATGGGTTAAGAAATTCATAGTCTAAGAACTTGAACAAAAACCCAACATTTCTGCTAAAATCTTAAGATTTACATTGAAACGTTAAGAATAATCGAGACTCTGGCCGATAACTTAAGTTTTCTTAAGCATCGCCTAAGGTGTAGGTAGGGGAGCAGAAAGTGACATAGACAGAAAAACTCGGAGGTCCGCGCGGATTCCTCGGATCGGCGCTGGGGCCCTCCGGCGGCGCCTCCGGCGCCGCCCCCGGCGCGCTCCGCGCGCCAGGGAGGGGGGTCCAGCGCCGATCCGAGAAATCCGCGCGGGCCTCCGAGTTTTTATGCTCATGTCACTTTTGTTCCTCAGACTCTGACTAGAGAGCCCCCCCCCTTGCGTGGCAGATCCCTCACTTGACCTGACCCAGGCCCCGTTGACACTGCGCCAAAGCTAGCCTGGCCCATGAGAGCTAACGTGACCAACGGCTCGGCGGCACCGGTGCGTCACGCGCGCGCTCGCGGTAGCAAATGATGCAACCCCGCCCGAAGACCCGAAGACCCGAAGACGACCTACCTCTGACCACCTCTGCGTCTTCGAGGGCGGCTCGGGACACCTCTCGGCAGGCCGAGGGCGGCTTCCGAGCCTCCTGCGAAGGCCTTCTCCTTCGCACTTGCCCCTGCCCCCCTCGCTCGCCGCCGAGCAGAGGGCTCGAGCAGATGGCCTCGCCGTTGGTGCCGTACCTCTGACTACAGTCAGCCCGTATAATGAGGGGATGCGCGGTAAGGATGCAAGGGCCTTGGAGGGCCACGTTCGCGTTTTTCGAACGGGGTTGCCCAGCGAGTCGCTAAGGATGGGCCGAGGGGGCAAGAATGCAAGGGTACCCTTGGGAAGGTTGCCCATCCTTATTATGCTGGTTGACTGTACCTACCAGACCACCCCAACCAAACCCGAAGACCCGAATCTCGGGTTGGGGGGGGCGGGTTCCATCCGCGTTTTTGTCCATGTTTTCCGCCGCCCCCCCCCCTACCACTGGGAATGGAGGGCATCTTGGGGCCTTCGGGATGGCTTGGAGTGGTGCGGTGGGTGGTGTACCTCTGGTCCGTTCGGCTTCGATCGGCTCCGACTCCGATTCGGCTCGCCTTCGGACTCGGATCTGGATCTTGGAGGCCTGGAAATGGGCACCAACACCAACACAGGGGGTTGCCCCCACAGGTGGAAGATGATCCCAGACTTCGGTGTTGGTGGCAACATTCCGGCCACCTTGGAAGCCAAACCATTACCGCCATCACCGAGATCGGGATCCTCTTCCCCCGGTGGAGGCACACCGCCGATATTGGTGCTGGTGTCCAACCTCTACACCCTGCGAAATGCTTAAGAAATCATGGGTTCAGAAATTCATAGTCTCAGTCAGAAACTGCATAAGACCCAGAACTTTTATATCAAAAGCTTGGGGTTTACATTGCAACGCCAAGACTACGCGAGACTCTGGCCGAAAACTCATGTTTTCTTAAGCATCGCCCAGGGTGTCGAGAGGGGCGAGAGGGGAGCGAAGCAGCTCGAGGGAGGAGGAGGAGGAGGAGGAGGAGGAGGAGGAGGAGGAGGAGGAGGAGGAACGAGGAAGGAGGAGAGGAGGACGGAGGAGGGAGGAAGGAGGAGGAGGAGGAGGGAGGAGGAGGAGGAGGAGAGGAGGAGGAGGAGGAGGAGAAGGCGAGGACGAGGACGAGGAGGAGGAGGGGGGAGAAGAGGGGAGGGAGGAGGAGGAGGAGGAGGAGGAGGAGGAGGAGGAGGAGGAGGAGGAGGAGGAGGAGGCCTGCGAGGACCTCGGCGTCCCCGCGGAGGCCCAGGCTCGGCCTGCCGAGTGCCGCCAAGGCCAGGCCTCCCCCCCCCCCCCGGCCTGCCGAGTGCCGCCGGGAGCCGGAGCGGGCCCTCGGCGGCGGGCCCCCGAGGGGGGGGTGGCAGCCGAGGGCGCGGGCGGTGCTGCGCGGGAGGGCCTGGGAGACTCCTCCTCCTCCTCCTCCTTCCTCCTCCTCCTCCTCCTCCTCCTCCTCCTCCTCCTCCTCTCCTCTCCTCCTCCTCCTCCTCCTCCTCCTCCTCCTCCTCCTCCTCCTCCTCCTCCTCCTCCTCCTCCTCCTCCTCCTCCTCCTCCTCCCCCAAGCGGACAAGCGGACAGGCGGCCTGCAGTCAAGGTGCCGCGGGGGCACTGCAGGGTGGCGCGGGGGCGCCGCTATTGGTGAGACAATGCGACAGCAACAAGATTCGTTACATCACATGGTCTGGAAGGAGGACAAAGAGGGGGAGGAGGACGTGGCTACCTACCAGACCACCCCAACCCAGCCCGAAGGCCCGAATCTGAGCCGAACTTCGGGTTGGGGGGGTATGGATTCCATGTGCTTTTGCGGTGTTCCCCGACCCCCCCCCCCCACTGGCAATCGAGGACGAATGGGGGCCTTCGGGTTGGGTTGGGGTGGTTTGGTGGGTGGTGAGGGCCTGGGAGGCCTCGGGCCTGCTCAGAGACGGGCCAAGCCTTGCGGTGACCCTCAGAACGTGTTTCGGGTCGGGCGAAAGGGGGGGACAGCAAAGGGGGGGGGTGAGAATCAGCTCACGTAGCTGATTTCCCTGGCGCCTCCTGGCGCCGGAGGCGGCCATGTATCGAGGAATGGGCCCCTCGGTGAGGCCGAAACCAGCTGCATGCAGCAAATTTCGCAACCCCCCCTTTCCCAATCCCCCCCTTTCGCCCGGCCCGAGTGTCAGCGCCAACGCGACTGCCCACCGAGGCCCTTCCCTACGACGAGGGCGGTGTGATGATCGGCCGGCTGGGCTTTGAGCGGGGGAAGCACACAGTGGGCTAACGCACGTCCTGAGGTGAGGATCATCGAGCCTTCCCCGAAGACACGGAAAGCTTCGAAAGTCGCAGGGGGGCCGGCCAGGGACATGGTCTCGCAGTTGGCGGTGAACCTCTGTGTCCCCTACAGACACCACCACTCTTAGTTCGATGGGGCATACCCAATCCGACCATACCCAGAACGACCATACCCGAAACGACCACTTTAAACTTGCTCAGGCACGCTCAAAAGCATGATCACGTAAGATACCAGCGCTCACTTCTTACGCACACCCAGCGACCCCACATGCCCGCGACAGCGCCAGCCAGGGAGGTGGTCTCGCAGTTGGTGGTGTACCTCTGGGCCACCTTTGATGCGTTATTAAGGCTCTGGGAGGCTAGACCCCGAAATCACGACGGGGAGCTTTTCGTTTTTTTCGGCCTCTATGGGCACTCACCTGGCCTCAGGACCTAAAACAGTCCACAGGAGGGGGACTAGACTTCTTGGAGTCCACGTCATGAAAAAATGCGACGATAGGGATCTGTGGGGTCAAGCTCGGCCTGCGTACGTCAGGCGGGCATGTGGGGTCGCTGGGCGTGCGTAAGAGGTGCACAAGGGCATCCTGTCTACTCATGGTCTTGAGCATGTCTAGACGAGTTTAGAATGGTCATTTCGGATATGGACGCGTTGGGTATGATCGTCTTGTGCAAGCCTACACGAGTCTAAAACGGTGGTTATCGAAGTGCACCTCTAGGGTCGGCGCGTCCCAAAACAGTGCGGCGGCAAACCGTGCGGCGACCTCGAAATCCCCGAACACGCCACCGCACGGTCCGTAGCCGAACGGCCCTGAGACCTCGGAGGCCCCAGTCGCCCGAGGCGTCCTCGGACGGCCCGAGTCCCAAACCATCGGCTCACGCCTCGCTATTTGTTGTTCGGGGGAGGAGGCGTGTGGAGCGCGACCGTCCCTGCTCGAATCAACGATGCGGGAGCAGCAGCGCGAACGTGTGCCTCTCGATGGTCTTCAGAACACCTGTCGCCGGCGGCGACGAGGCGGAACGGCTGCACCGGCGACAGAGCTAAACGGGGGCACCGAGAAGCGAACTGCCCAGCATGCAGGAGAAGGCAGCGAGACGCTTGGGGCGGCCGCGGAGGAGGAAGAGGGGGAAAAGGAGGAGGAAAAGGAGGAGGAAAAGGAGGAGGAGGAGGAGGAGGAGGAGGAGGAGGGGAGGGGGAGGGGGGGAGCAGGAGAGAGGAGGAGCAGGAGGAGGAGGAGGAGGAGAGGGCACTCAGAGGCGGAAGACTTCCGACCTGAGCGCGCTGGCGCGGCCGGCCTCGTCCGCGGGGCCCGCGGCAGCTGCTGGGCCGCAGCGTCGGGGCCCGCACCCACCGGCGACGACCTTCTCCCTCCCCCCCCTCCCTCTTCCCCCTCCTCCTCCCTCCCTCCACCCTCCTCCCTCCTCCTCCTCCTCCACCCTCCTCCCCGCTCCTCCTCCTCCTCCTCCTCCTCCTCCTCCTCCTCCTCCTCCTCCTCCTCCTCCTCCTCCTCCTCCTCCTCCTCCTCCTCCTCCTCCTCCTCCTCCTCCTCCTCCTCCTCCTCCTCCCCAACGTGCGCTTGTCCACCGAGGCCCTTCAGCACGACGCAGGCGGTGCAGTCTGCAGGGCTGGGCACACGCTGGGCTGACACGCGTCCTGAGGAGCATCGGGCCTCGAGACTGGCCCCTCGGGGAGGGGACCTTGAGGGATCGTCGGGCCTCGGCGAGAAAGACTGGAACAAGAACAAGAACAAGAAGAGAGACGAAGAGGACGAAGAAGACGCAGAAGAAGAAGAAAAAGAAACGGCATCAACCTAAGCTACCAGAGCTCAGCGCGGCTCTCCTGGATCAGCGCCATCAGCGCTGGGCCCCCGTCCCTGGCGGACGGAGCGCACCGGGGGCGGCGCCTCCTGCGCCGCCAGGGAAGTCCAGCGCAGAGCAAGATCAGCGCCCCTCAAACGGGGACTCCACTAACGGGTACTTTGGCCAGTGACCCAGCGAACCCAGCCCTTCCCGATGTGGGCAAAACTGCAATGCAAGAAAAAGGCCCTAAAGTGGCAACATTCGGCAAAAAATCAAAGTACCCGTTAGTAAGTACCCGTTACGGTGCCGTTGACAAGAAATTCCGCGCCGGACTCCGTAAGTTGCCCAGCAGGAGATCGACTGCAGAATCCCACCAGGCCTCTGGGTGTAAGTGGTAAAGAGAGGTTCCTCTTCCAACCCCCTTCTTCCCCATCGGGGAGGGGTTCGCTCCTCCCCCCCACCCCCTCCCCTGGACCTGGACGGGGGCGGTCGCGAGCGGTCAGAGCGTCCAAGGTGGCCCAAGACGGCTCCAAGAGTGCCTCTGAGAGCCCAAGATGACCTCCAAGATGGCTCAAGATAGCCCGAGAAGCCTCAAGATGGTTTCCAAGATGCTCCAAGAGGATCCAAGAAAGTTCCAAGACGGCTCCAAGAGGGCTCCGAGACATCCAAGGAAGCCTCCAAGAGGCCAAAATCCTTCCAAAGCCTAAGGAAAACCAATGATTTGTGCCTTCTCGCCTTTTCGCTTCCGACCGCCATCCGAGAAGATGGCCTCCAAGATGGCCCAAGAGGGCCCCAAGAGGGGCCCAAGAGAGCCTCAAGACTGCCCAAGAGCACCCAAGAGCGCTCCAAGAGCGCCCCAAGAGCGCCCCAAGAGTCGACTTTTGGGACTCCCGAGGGGCAGCGCTAGTGAGGGAGCCCCCCTTCTTTGATCGATGTCCTCCAAGATGGCCCCAAGAGGCCCCCAAAACGCCCAAGAGCCCCCCAGGACTGCCACGAGACCCCCAAGACCTCCCAAGAGGCCTCCAAGAAGCGCCCAAGAGATATCCCAAGAGGCTCCGAGGGGCATCCAAGAGACCTCTGGCCCTTTTGCTTGCCCTCATCCTCCTGCTCCTCCTTCCTCCTCCTACTCCTTCTCTTCCTCCTCTTCCTCCTCCTCCTCCTAATCATCGTATTAATATTCCTTCTCCCCACTCCCTCATCCATCCATCCAGCCTCCACCTTCCCCTCCTCCCTCCTTCGCACGGTTCGGCCGTCCCCCTCTTTGCTCCCGAACTTCCCTGATCACCTCAACTCGCCTGGACATTGTTTCTGGATGGGCTCGTGGGGATACCAGAAGCGTCTAGAATTGATGTACCCCATGACTGATGTTGTTTCGTAGATGCGACCAACAAAAAAAACATCGCTGGGGAGGAACCGATTATGCTAGCGATCTCCTCTTCGCAACTTCTGCGTCTGTGCAGTCTGTTCGCCTTCGAGGGAGCGCAGGACGAGACGAGGGCTGGAGTCGTGCGCGCTCCGCTGTGAGGAGCCCGCCCGGGGGCAATGTTAGGAAAAGGGCGTGGCGTGGAGGCCGCAGCCTCCGCAGAGAGGGTGCGAACCGAACCAACACCCGGCTGGCCGCTCGTCGGACGAAGACGTGGAAGGCGAGCCGGGGCGGGAGCGGGAGGGGGGGAGGGGGGAGGAGGAGGAGGAGGAGGAGGAGGAGGAGGAGGAGGAGGAGGAGGAGGAGGAGGAGGGGAGGGAGGAGGAGAAGGAGGAGGAGGAGGAGGAGGAGGGGGAGGAGGAGGAGGATGGGGAGGAGGATGGGGAGGAGGAGGAGGAGGAGGAGGAGGAGGAGGAGGGCCAGTGCAAACCCAAGTCTCCTCAACGATGTTGGAATAAACCCCCCCTTCAAGCTCCCTCTTCATAGGCCCCTACCACCGCGACTCAATGTATACGAAACACCATTCGTGATACGCTAACCAGGAGAATCCTTGCGATGGCCCCAAAAGGAGTCGCTTCCGCAAACGCACGGCCATTGTTTGGAGACGCTAGTGGACGCACAAGTAGTTTATGTGAATGGCTGATAGTTTGACGTGTGCACATGTGTTCAACACAGTATCTGGCCGCTTGCCAGAACATGGCGAGTCAGGCATCTGGCGATTCTAACCAAGGCCAAAGAAACCAAAGCGCGCCCATCCCTGCGCGCAACGGGGCAAAGAATCACCATCATCATCGTAACCTCCGGAACCACCCGCCGAAAAATCATCCACCAATCTTCTGCTCATAATCGAGACGTGTAATTTGAAGGGTCATGCTGAAAGAACAAATGTTGGAAGCCGTGCGCGCGCTCGTGCAAGCGCAAATTGTAGATCACGTTCGCGCGGGTTGTTCTGGGGGCGTCTAAAATGACCTGGCGCAGGTTGTGGATCACCTGCGTTGTGGATCCACATTCTGCGCGCCCCCATGGGCTCCCCCCGGCCAGCACGGAAAATACACGATGCAAAAAGCGAACTCTTTGCCGCTGCGCAAACTCAAAACATACACACGCTGTTTTCAGGGACGCGTTTGTGCGATTGGTTTTGGCTCAAAGCACTGGTCGATGTGCGCGGCGCTGAAGCCAGAACCACATTTTGAAAAAAGTGCTGTAAAGGTTCACAACGATGTGAAGGTCGCTAAAGCAAGAACTACATTTTGAAAACCACCCGACCACAATCCGTGAAAGTCTTGCATCTGTTTGAAAAGAATGTGCGGGGCGCTAAGGCGAAAGTCACATTAAAAAAACCATCCGCCATCAATCCACGAAACTCTTGCACATGTTTGGAACCATTGCGCGCGGCGCCCAGGCGAAAGCCAGATTTTGAAAACCACACTCCCTCAATATGTGGAACTCTTGCAAGTGTTTAAGACGAATGCGCGCGGCGCTCACGCGAGAACCACATTTTGAAAACCAACCGCCCTCAATCCGTGTTGCCAACTTGTAAGCTTCAGGATCATTCGGGTCGGGCGACAGGAGGGGATGGCAAAGGGGGGGGGGTGAGAATCAGCTCACGTAGCTGATTTTCCCGGCGCCTCCCGGCGCCGGAGGCGCCCGTGTATCGAGGAATGGGCCCCTCGCTGGGGCCGAAACCAGCTGCATGCAGAAAAAAATTCGCACCCCCCCCCTTTCCCAATCCCCCCCTTTCGTCCGGCCCAGATCATACATGGCACGGAGGTCTCACGCAAAACGCCCCGCCCGCCCTTCCGACCAGCCTCGGCCGGGGCTCGACAAAGAGGGAGCTTCTCACAACAAAAGGAATGGGGGGCGTCTCCACGATGCGCGGGCGGCGCTGTCTCCGGGCTGTGTCCTCCACCGCTTGGAACCCTCTGGGCAAGCGCGCGGGCTCTCTCACTCGTTGTCTCTCTCTCTCTCTCTCTCTCCCTCTCTTCTTGTTCATTGGCTGCCGCCATCAACGTGACCGCGAGGACGCTGCGGAACTCGCCACCGAGCAAGAAGAGCAGGAGCAGCAGGAGGATAAAACAGGGCTAGGATCGGGATAAATCGCTCCAGAGCGTTCCGGAGCGCTCTCAGAGCGTTCCGGAACGCTCTGGAGCGGCCGCGGCGCCCAACACATCCTCAAAAAACCCGCCGATCCTCAGAGATTTCGAAAAATCCCGATCCGATTTTGCCCCGATCTTCGCGTCGGTTTAGAGGAGGCCGGTGAAGATCGAGAACTCACCACGCGTCCGGCCCTCCGGGGGCCCCTCGGAGGCGTCCGCGGGCCTCCATAGGGGCACCCGGGGAGCCCCCCGCGCGGGCCTCTCCGGGAGCACCCCGCGGGGGGGCGGTCCCCGGGAGGCCTGCGGGGGAGGTACTTTGCCGAGGTGGCGTCACAGCAGCAAGTCGGCCCCTGACGTTCGTCCTGGGCTCGGTTTCGGGAGGTGATGAGTTTCGGGGTCCTTGCGTGGGGAAGAACATCTCACTTCACTACTCTGGGGCCCCTGGGGTCTCAGTGGGCCCTGGGGCCCAAAATGAGTGAAGTGATAGTTTTCGGGCCGCGGGGGAGGGGAAGCGGGCGGCACTCGCTCGAGCTGTGCTCGATGATCTGCGCCTTGTAGTCGTGGTGCTCGCTGCAGGTCATCCGGGACAGCACCAGCTTGCCTCGGCAGCACTCGCAGAAACAAGACAACACAACACAAACAACAACAAAAAACGGCACATGCATACCTAACCTTTCGGAGCTCTGCGCGGATTCCTCGGCTCTGCGCTCACACCCCGGGCCACCAGAGGGGCTCCGGCGACGACCCGAGAACTCGGCGCGGACCCAGCGTCGGCTCCCCGGATGCCAGGATGCAGGCCTCCCAGGTGGGGTCCGAACACGCAGGATCGCGCCGCATCGCCAGCGCATCGACGATGCCTCGGCGATGCAGCGGCGACGTCGGCGATGCTCTGGCGCCGTCGGCGTGGAGAAGATCGGGCCCGATGCGTCGCCGATGCGTCGGCGACGCATCGGGCCGCAGCGCCGGTGCCCCCGCGATGCGGCGGCCTCCTCCGACGCCCTCTGCTCGGGCCCACCTGGGAAGCCTGGGTGCGAGGAGCGGGCAGGGCGAGGAGGCAGGGCCTCCTGAGAGGGCACGGGGGGCTTCGTGGAGGGGGCGTGCGCCCCTCAGCGAACAGGAAGCAGCCACAGCAAACAAAGCAAGAGACGTCCGCCCAGGGACCTTCTTAGTGGGTCGGGCGTGTCCCCGTACAGGCGGATCCCAGACGATGAATGAAGCATATTTAGAGCACTCAAGAGATATTCAGAAATAATCAAAACATCGTCCCCAGACTATGTGTTTTGACTATTGATGAATATCCCTCCAGGAGCGCTCCATGAGCGCACCAACAGGGCTCCGAGACGTCCCCGAGAGCCCCAAGAAAGGCCAAGAGGCCCCCAAGAGGCCCCCTAGATGGTACACGAGGGGTCCGACATGCCACAAGATCGCCCAAGAGGGCCCCCCGAGGCAAAATTCATTGTTTTTCCTTAGGTTTTTGAGAGATTTTGGAGCTTCCACCTTTGCGGCTTCCCGACGCCCCAAGACGGCCCAAGAGGTCCCCAAGATCGCCCCAAGAGGGCCCAAGAGGCCCCCAAGAGGGCCCCAAGATGGCCCAAGAGGGCTCGAAGACGGCCCAAGAAGCCTCCAAGACGGTCCAAGAGGGCCCCAAGAACGCCCCCAAAGGGGCCCCAGAGAGGGAACACGAAACAACATTTCGAGCCCTCGGCCCTAAGAAGCCCCTACGAGGCCCCAAGAGGCCCCTAAGAGGCCCCAAGAGGCCCCCACGAGGCCCTCAGGAGGCCCCCAAGAGTCCCCCAAGCGGCCCCAGGAGGCCCCCCAAATGCCCCCCGAGCGCCCCAGGAGTCCCCCAAGCGGCCCCAGGAACCCCCAAAGCGCCGCATTGACACCAGGCCCTCGGGCAAACGGCAGACATGAGACTGTATGGGCCGGCGGAATGAGCGAAGCGATTCAATAATCAAAACATCGTCCCCAGACTATGTGTTTTGACTATTGCTGAATATCCCTCCTGCAGCGGGACAGGCCCGACACAAACCTTATCAGAGAGGCGGTATTCAAGGGGCCCAAGGACACACAAATAAATACACACAAATAAAAAGATTCCCCATATTTTCCCATATTTTTTGGATCTTCGTCTTCCCCCCCACTTCCCATATTTTCCAATATTTTCTGGGAAATCGACGATTAATTGTGTCTGTGTGTTTTTTCCCCTCCTGATAGAGAGGCGGGATGGGGGGCCCGGGGATGCCCGCCCCGCGCACTGCCTCCCCTCGCGCGCGCGCCGGCGCTCGCCGGGGCCGCAGAACTTCACCGACTTCACCCCCCCGTTCTGCATCATCTTGCACTGTCCGTCCTCCGTGGTGATCTGCCAGCCCCCCCCCCCCGCCGGGGGGCTGCCCTGGCCTTCGAGCCTGTCTCCCCCGAGTGGTGACGAGGAGGAGGAGGAGGAGGAGGAGGAGGAGGAGGAGGAGGAGGAGGAGGAGGCGGAGGAGCAGAAGGAGAAGGAAGAGGAGAAGGAGGAAGAGGAGAAGGAGGAGAAGGAGAAGGAGGAGAAGAAGAAGAAGAAGAAGAAGAAGGAAGAGTAGCAGTAGCAGTAGCAGTGGCAGTGGCAGTGGCAGTGGCAGTGGCAGTAGCAGTGGCAGTAGCAGTAGCAGTAGCAGTAGCAGTAGTGGTTAGAGGAGGAGGAGGACGACGACGAGGAAGAGAAGGAAGGAACGAAGGAAGGAAGGAAGGAAGGAAGGAAGGAAGGAGGACGAGGAGGAGGACGAGGAGAATGAGAAGAAGCACAGAGACTGAAAAGAGGAAGAGGCGAAGGACAAAAAAAGTAGGAGGGCTGACTTCGAAACGGTAGATGATTTCCCCGGCGCCGCCTCCCGTCGCCAGAGGCACCAGTGTATCGAGGAGAACGCCTGGCGGCGGGGCCGAAACTAGCTGCCTGCAGCAGATTTCGACACCGCCCATGTCCTCATCCCCCATGCTCGACCGACCCGAGAGGGAGTCCAGTTTACGGGCCATGACTCGGGTCTCCGGCAACCTTTCGGGACGATCTGGGAACGCCCACGACGCCCCCGGCGAGGCGCAGCTGCCAGCCATCCCGAGGCTGAAGAGGCGCCGAGAACAGTCGCAAACGTCTGAAAGCCCCCAAGCCTCAAACATCGGGTGCCGAGATGGAACGAGGGAGGCACCGAGAGATCGAGCTGGAGGGTGCCGAAGTAGAAGGGGGGAGTGATCGAGGGGTCGAGGATGAATAGGCCCAGACATCCTCCGATATGCTTCCTTCAGAACTCCCGACCTGCTCTCTGGGAGTAGTTTTGCGTTCCAGAACCATGTTCGATGGCCCAGGGGCCTGGGAACGGGCCCTGGAGGCCAAATCGAGGGAGCGAGGATGAACAGACCCAGACATCCTCCGATATTGATGAGCCTGTTTTCCACCACCACCACCACCACCAGAAGTTGGAGGGGAGAAGGAGGTGGAGGGCGAGGAGGAGGAGGACGAAGATGAGGAGGAGGAGGAGGAGGAGGAGGAGGAGGAGGAGGAGGAGGAGGGGGAGGAGAAGGAGGAGGGGTAGGAGGAGGAGGACCCCCCCCTCCAACTTATGGTGGTGGTGGAAAACACGCCCATCAGATATGTTTCCTTCCGAACTCCCGACCTCTGCCCCTGGGGGTAGCTCCGCGCCCCCGGCTCCGTCTTTTCGACGGCCCGGGGGCCCAGGAACGGGCCCTGGAGGCCGAGAAATTCAGAAAGGGCGGTCGGAGATCTGGGGAGGCAACAAAAAGGAGGAGGAGGAGGAGGAGGAGGAGGAGGAGGAGGAAAAAGGAGGAAGGAGGAGGAGGAGGAGGAGGAGGAGGAGGAGGAGTTGGAGGAGGAGGAGAGGAGGAGAAGGAGGAGGAGGAGGGGGGGGGGGAGGAGGAGGAGGAGGGGCATCGAGGTTTCAGCAGCGGACGTGCTCGAGACACCGCGGGGGCCGGCGGCGCGTGCCCGAGGCGTGCCCGATCTCCGAGAACTCGGGCGTGCCCGCGGCGTCCTCGGACGTCGAGACGGAGATGGTGGTCTGCTGGCCGCAGACGAACCTGCCAGGCTGGGAGTGGGCGGGCTCGGGGGGGGTCCATCGCGGAGCGATAGGGGGGAGGAAAGGGGAGCAGGAGGAGGAGGAGAAGGAGGAGGAGGAGGAGGAGGAGGGGGAGGAGGAGGAGGACCAGTGTGAACTCAAGACTCATCAACGATGTTGGAATAAACCCTCCCTCGAAGCTATTTCTTCACAGTTCCCTACAAAGGGTCATTTCCACAGAGGGAATTGCTCCGTTGGGAGACAACCGTGTGAACATCTTGAAGCGTGCTAAAACACCATTCTCAGAATTTCAACGCCACGAGTTAATCTGAATGTTACGTCTTGGCGATCCTGAATCGCGCCAGAACAGCATTCCTGGGACGTCAACACCGCGAATCAAGGCAACTGTTGCGCCCTGACAGTCCTGAATCGTTTCACAAAACCATATCCGATACGCTAACTATGAGAACCAGCGAAACTCTTGCAGAGGTTGTTTTTCGACGTGCGCAGCGCTAAAGCGAGAGCCACATGTTGGAAAGGCACCGCCCTCAACCTGCCAAACTCTTGAAACTTTTTACAACGGATGTGCTCGGCGCTAAAGCGAGAACCACCTTTTGAAGACCACATGCCCTCTACCCGTGAAGGTCTTGCAATTGTTTGACACGAGTGCACGCGGAGCTAAAACGAGAATATCAGTTTGAAAACGAGCCACCCGCCATCCGCGAAACTCTCACACTTGTTTTAAAGCGAACGCGCGCTGCGCTAAGGCGAGAGCCATATGTTGAAAACGACCTGCCCCCAATCCGTGAAACTCTTACAATTGTTTACAACGAATGCGCGCGGCGCTAAGGCGAGAATCACACGTTGAAAACCGCCCACACTCAATCCGTGAAACTGTTGCAATGTGCTAAAACGAATGTGCGCAGCGCTACAGCGAGAGCCACATATTGATAACCACACGCCCTCCATATTTGAAACTGTTGTCAACTGTTAAGCATCAGGGCCATACATGGTGATGATGTCTCAGGCAAAACGCCCAGTCCGCCCTTTCGACCGGCCTCGGGGTGCGACAGTGAGGAGTTCTCTATGAGGTCAAAGAATGGAGAAGGAGTAGGAGGAGGAGAAGGATGTCGAGGAGGAGGAGGAGGAGGAGGAGGAGCAGCAGCAGGAGGAGAAGGGGGGAGGCTCCTCCTCCTCCTCCTCCTCCTCCTCCACTTCCTCTTTTTTCTCCTCCTCCTCCTCCTCCTCCTCCTCCATCCCTTTCCTTATAAATTACTCCTCCCTGTTCCATCCCCAGACGTGTCGGTAGGGCGGGCCGGGCGTTTCGGCTGAGACTTCCTCACCACATCTGATCCACTAGCTTGAAACTTGCAACAGCTTCATTGGTGCAGGAAGGGCCGTTGTCCAAATGTGGCTATCGCTTTAGTGCCGCGCACATTAATACTGCAAGGGTGCAACAGCTTCAAAAATGTAGGGCTGTTCTTTTTCAAGCCTTAGCACACATTCGTCTTGAAAGTTTGCACCAGTTTTGAGGACCGCCTGGTTAAAGTCCAAGCAAGTGTGTTCTGGCACGATTTAAGATTGTCAGGGCGTTACAGTCATGTAAACTTGCGGCGTTGAAATTATAAAGAATCGCGTTCTGGCACGATGTTGGATTGTCCAGACGTCACGTTGACTCGCAACGCTGACATCCCAAGAATGGCGCTTTGGTACGCTGGAAGATTCTCAAGCGGTTGTCTTCCAAAGGGGCACTTCCCGCAATTCGCTGGCCCAACGGGCCAGACAGACAAGCAGCAGGAACCGTGCCTGGACGGCACAGTGGTCGAAGGTCGCGTGCGTGAGTTCGTGCACAGCAGCACAGCACGCTGGCGTCGACAGCCCAAGAAGCAACGTACAACCAGCGTCACCGAGTCCATGGGCGGGGACTGTCAAAAAAACGGTGCACGCGTGCCCGACCCCGCCCAGGAGGCTCCCTTGGTGGACGGTCTGGGAGAACAACGGCAGCAGAGGGCCGGAGGCGGAACGACACCCAGGGACCGGGACGAGCCCAGAGCCAGGGGAGAGAGGAGGGCGCGCGACAGGGGCCGACGCCAGGATCCCTCCTCCCTCCTCCCTCCTCCCTCCTCCCCCCCCCTCCTCCTCCTCCTCCTCCTCCTCCTCCTCCTCCCTCCTCCTCCTCCTCCTCCATCTTTCCTCCTCCTCCTTCCTCCTCCTCCTCCTCCCTCCTCCTCCTCCTCCTCCTCCTCCTCCTCCTCCTCCTCCTCCTCCTCCTCCTCCTCCTCCTCCTCCTCCTCCTCCTCCTCCTCGAAACCCGGGCGACCGCCCGAGGGACGAGCAGGAGGAGGAGCAGGCAGAGGAGCGGCGGCAGGACGGTGGAAGAGGGGCCGACGGCACGGCCCTGAGGACAGGCGGGCGGGGGAGGCCAGGGCACCGTTTATAGGGCGACGAGATCTATACATATCCACTGCTCCCTGGCCAGGCCCATCCTGAACCCAGCAGCGGTGTATACGCCACGACCTCCTGGCTTGGCCAGGAGGGCGTGTACACAGCTCCTGGGTTCAGGATGGGCCTGGCCAGGGAGCAACGGAGATGTATAGATTCCGCTGCCCGACGTTCAGAGCTGTGTCCGCCACCGTGCCTCGAGGCACGGAGTGGAGTCACCCCCAGGCTCTCCTGTGTTCCCTGTTCTCTGCAATCAGGACTGGGGGTTCTAGCATTCCAGGGGCTGGGGCCCCAGCTTCTCAAATTTACTGGGCGCTCCCGCGCGCTCTGGGGCTGCCTTGCGTTATTCGCGTTCTCGCTTTTCGGGCCTCCGACGCTCCAGGATGGCCCCAGAAACACCCTAGACCGCCCCCCCCAAGAAGGCCCAAGAGGCCCCCAAAAAGGACCCCAAGACGGCCCAAGAAGGCCCCAAAACGGCGCAAGAGGCGCCCAAGACGGCCCAAGAGAGCCCTAAGACGGCCCCAAGCGGAGCCCAAGAGGGGAACACGAACCGAAAGTTCGAGCCTTCCGCCAAAAGAGGCCCACAGGAGGCCCCAACGGGCCCCCAAGAGAGCCCAACAGGCCCCCTAGAGGCCCCACGAGGCCCCCAAGAGGCCTCAAACTGCCTCCAAGAGGCCCCCGAGAGGCCTCCCACGACATCCAAACGAACATCCACGAGGCCTCCAACCCAAAACCTGGGCACTGGCGGGATGGACCGAAGACCACTAGATCCACCGCCCCCTGTCGACCTGGGCCGGCACGGGAACGGAAAGAGCGCACTCAGCAGTGTGCTCGAACATGCTCATGGCATCATTCGCCTCTCGAGTCTTGGTAGTAAGAGTCTTTTGCGCCAACACTCACTCTTCGGAGCCTTGTTACTCCTGCTCCTCCTGCTCATGCTTCTGCTCCTGCTTGTTCACCAACCAATCGAAAATCAGCGCTCCTCCTCCTCCTCCTCCTCCTCTTTCTGCTCTTTCTTGCTCATCCTCTTCCTTCTCATTATCCTCCTCCTCCTCCTCTGCTCCTCCTCTGCTTGCTCCTCCTCCTCCTCCTCCTCCTCCTCCTCCTCCTCCTCCTCCTCGTCCTCCTCCTCTCCTCCTCCTCTTCCTCCGCCTCCATCCTCGTCCTCTTCATCCTCCTCTTCCCTCCTCCTCATGCTGCTCCTCCTGCTGTTCCTCCTCCTCCTCATCATCCTGTTCGTGGTGCTCCTCCTCCTCCTAAGAGTTTTTGTTACGCCAGTCGTCGTTATTAATGAGGAGCCATGGTGTTGTGAGCTTATGACGTCACTGTGGGCAATTGGAAGCCTCTGTTATGTGGCGTATCCGAGCCTTCTTGGGGGTCGTTTTGAAGTCATTTGGGGCCGTCTTGGGGCCTGCTTGGGCCGACTTGGGGCACTTTCGGGGCGTCTTGGAAGACTTTGGCCGTCTTGGGGCTCTCTTGGGGGTCTCTTCGGGCCCTCTTGGGAGCCTCTTGAGGCCCTCTTGGGGCTCTCTTGGGAGCCTCTAGACCCTCTTGGGCCGTCTTGGGTCCCTCTTGGGAGCCTCTTTAGGCCCTCTTGGGCCGTCTCGGGGCCTTCACGGGAGCCTTGAGGCGATCTCTTGGGCCTCTTGGGCCGTCGTGGGCATCGAGCCGCCCAGAGGGCCATCCCACTCGATAAATATCGAGGCCGGAGGGCGATTAGACTCTTCGCCCGCCCGTCCCCCCTCCAAGGACACCCTCTCCTTGGGCTGACGCCCTGAACGGAACCGCGTGAACGCTCTTTCCGTCATTCATCGCAGGAGTCCTGGCGTGCTAGACCCTTCCGGTTTGGGTGTTGGCCTTTTTCCAAAAGAACTCCCCCTGAGGCTTCGGCCCGTCCCGCTGGCAACCCGAAAGGTTACCGAAAATGCCCGGGTGGTTCCCCCTGTCGCGTCCAGGACGGCCAAGATTGCCCAAGATGGCCTCCAAGATGCGTCGAAGACGGCCAAGATGGCCTCCAAGACGGGTAAGATGGCTACAAGATGCCTCCAAGACGGCCCAAGATGCCCTCCAAGACGGCCAAGATGGCCCCAAGATGCCTCCAAGATGGGCCAAGGGCCAAGAGGCCCCCAAGAGGCCTCCAATGCGCCCAAGAGGTCCTCCAGGAAGGCCCGAAAAGGCCGAAATCATTGATTTTCCGTGGAGCTTTTTTTTCCAAGGATTTTAGCATTTACGCGTTTTGGGCTTTCCGTCGGCCCCAGACGGCCCAAGAGGCCTCCAAGATGGCCCGAAGACGGCCCAAGAGGCCCTAAGACGAGAGAGCCCCCAAGACGGCCCAAGAGGCCTCGAAGACGCCCAAGATGGCCTCGAAGACGGCCCTGGAGCGGCCCAGCAGGGCCCCAAGACGGCCCAGAGAGGCCGCCAAGACGGCTTCCGACGGCGTCAGACGGGCCAGGAGCCACCAAGATGGCCGAAATTGCCTCGAAGCTGGCCCAAGACGGCCCAAGAGGCCTCCAAGAGGGTCTTCAAGAAGGCCAGAAAAGCAACAAAAAAAAAAACACTGATTTTCCTGCGGTTGATGAC